AGCTTCTTCGAAGAGCTCGGAAAGTAAGCGCGGCGCCGGGGAGCCCGGGAAGGTGCTCGCGCGGGAGGCGGCTCGGGCCCGGGCGCCCTGCCCCCGCCTCTCGCCGGCCGGCACTGGAGCCGGCGGGGCCCCCGCAGTCGGAGAACCCGCAGTCGTTAGAGCGTTCTCTGTGAGCGGAGATACTCCGGAGCCCGCGGGGCGACCACGCGCGGCCGGGTCGCGCTGTCCCCGCAGTGCCGTGTCACTGACGCCCCGAGTTCCACGTCCAGAGAGGGGGCCCCGGGCAAGGCCCGACCCTGCCCCGCGCCACGGTCACCCCTGGTCCCGGGTGACTCCCCCGCCGTTCCCTCCCCAGGGCTCGCGCGCATCCCTGCTTCCTCGGAGGACTTACACGCGGCCCGAGAGCCCTTTGGGCGCCGTGGTGTCCCCAGGTGGCCTAGCGGTGCGTGGACCTGCGGGACCGCTGGAGGCGTGCAGGGAGAGAGCAGGGACCTGCCCAGGCCCGAGCGCGGGGATCCAGGGGCTGGAGGTGTGCAGGAGGCACGGATTTGCTGAGGGTCGGGTTGTGCACAGGGACCCAGGGGCGACCCGGATGCTGATTGATGGTTTATGCAGCATCTGACCCAAACCCGATCCTCTGCCTGTTTCCACGATTACTGATGAGACGGTGCGGTGTGTGATGATGTTCATGCAGCTGAATTAGAGGAAATGGAAATACCTTTTAGGTGGAATGAACTTTCTATCCTTATATGTTTATGCGTTGTTTGTTGTTAAAACATGGGGAATATGTCGGAAGAGCAGCTTAATTCAAATCTCTCCCCTCCCCCAGCCCAAAACAGGCACAGAGAAATCACCATGGTAAACCACACCAATGTTCCCAAGATTTATATTCTAATGAAAACAATCGCCATCTTTACTCACTTGGAGCCACGTTAATTTTTTCTTACCAGGATATTTCTGCTGCTCTTCCTCAGCTCGGCTCTGTGCAGCGTTTGTTTTTTTCTGGAGCATTTGGTGCGATGTGAGTGTGAACTGCAAAAGGTTTTCCTATTTCATGTGCAAACAGGAGCCTGGGGATTGGCAGTCCCTGTCATTTGGTTGATGAATGATGTGTGCTCCCAGTTAAATAAGATTTACTCTGTTCTCGGCATCAAGGCTGGCCCGGGCTTCCAGGAAGAGTGGGTCATTTTCTGGATATTGCGTAGCGCACTGATATTTGACAGTTCACTACATCCAACAGAAATGCTCCACATGTTGTAATTTTTAAGTAACCATCAGAGCTGATTATAGAGATGACCTGGCAATGTTTTGTTTTCAGGGGGGCTTTCTCAGTGGTGAGAAGATGTATGAAAATCCCTACTGGTCAAGAATATGCTGCCAAAATCATCAACACCAAGAAGCTGTCTGCCAGGGGTAGGTGGTGTCCACTGTGCGTGTCTGTTACCTGTGTGCTTCTCCTGCCACTGGGTTCTCTTGCAAGCACATCACACGGCTGTCGCTGAACAATGGGCTTAGGTGGCTGTCACATACTGAGATTAGTTCTCCTGAATGCCCCTTGGTCTATACAGATTAAAAATAAATGAACAAATATAACTTAACAAGTTTCTATAAAAATTCTACTGTCCTATGAGCAATAACACAAATAACTACATTTCAAAGCAAATAAATGTCACAAAGTGTATTTTGCCTTTAGCTCTACTGTGAAGTAACTTTCAAAAGCCGCTGGAATGGAAAAATGTAACTCTCACAGCTATCATTGTTTCCTTTGCTTCTGAGAGGAAAAATAGGTCAGAGCTCAGTTGATTCATATATTTCAATTGTAGTTACACTTGAACTTAATTCATCAAGGCATATTTAACACTCATGGCGCTGGGAGGAAAAATTTGACTGCTGTATTCTAGGAAGTTCAGGCGGTTTTGACATTTCCATGTGCAGTTCAGCCCTTCCCTTGGCCTTAGCAGGGAGATTGCTCACAGACCCGGAATGTGTTTTGCACATGCTCAATAGCCACAGAGATAATTCATGCTCGTGAATAGCTGTTGACATAAGCAAGAAACTTGGAGCGCCCTCCCTGCACTCGTGTTACTTCTTTGAACTCATGCGAAAGTCCTTCTACTGAAATGTGAGGCACCCCAGTTATTGTGAGCATGTGGCTAAGGCATTGCCATGGGAATTGATGGTTTAACGAAAGAAACATGAAATGAAAATGAACAGAATGCCAAGTGTAAGCCCGTTTCAGTGACCTGGTTTATTTTATTCTAAGTAATAAGAAAAGAAGTTCCATCAGGGTTTAATTCGTCTTCAAAGAGTGCTGCTGCCTTGGCCTCTGCCAATACTTGTTGCAAATCCCACCTTAGTGTGGCCTGTGGGTGTAGACGGGCATTTCAGGGAGTTGGTTCGGGGGGGTTTGGTTGTGATTCTGAGGAGCCTCTGTGCCAAGCAGGCCAGGCCGCAGGCCGAAGCAGCGGAGCACGCGGCTCAGGGATGCTCCCTTCATGCTGCTGCTCCCAAAGGAAGGCTTTCTGCAGGGAGAGGAGCTGCTACACTGCAATGGACACTTCAGTTGTTAAAAAGTGTGGAGGGGCCCCCTCTCAGTGCTGGTGCCATCTCCTCCGTGTGGGCGCCGGGCCCTGGGCACCAGTGGGACGCACTTCTTTCCCAGGCATCTCAGCCCTCCCAGAGTTCCAGTGGCTGACTTTTCCCTCAGAGCAGACACGCTGTGCTTCCCTTCGCTGTTTCTTGAATTAGAGTGTCCCTCTTCATCCACCTGACTCATGCTGAGAGGCAGACGCCATGTCCTCTCCCTCCTCCCTCACCCTCCTCTCCCTCCTCCCTCTTCCCACCTCTCCCTCCTCCATCCCTCTCCTCCTCCTCTCTCCTCCTCCTCTCTCTCCCTCCTTCCTCCTTCTTCCTCCTCCTCCCTCCTCCCAGCTCCTCCCCCTCCTCCCTCCTCCTTCCTCCTCCTCCCGCTCATCCCTCCTCCCTCTCCCTCCTCCCTCCTCTCTCTCCTCCCTCCTCTTTCTCCCCCCTCCCATTACCTCTCCCTCTCCCTCCTCCCTCCTCCCTCCTCTCTCTCCCTCCTTCCTCCTCTTTCCTCCTTCCTCTTTCCTCTCTCTCCCCCCTCCCCAGCTCCTGCCCCCTCTCTGCCCATCATCTGCTGAAAGAGCAGTCTGCACCCCAAGCCCCCTTGCCCTCCTGGAGGCACGCCCCCCACTGTCCCAGTTACATTCATTCAGGAGAGGTGGTGGGTGCAGGACGGAAGACCAGCCTCCCGCTCTCCTCCCCTCTCCTTGGTCTGCAGGAGGCTCCTCACCTGCTTGGCCTTAACCCCCCGCAGTTGTAAATTCTCACTCCCCTGCCTGCTAGCTGCTCTTGGGCACTTAGGTGCTTCCAGTGAGCCTCAATTTTCTCACCTTGAAAACGGGGTGACACTAGAACACTTGCTGTTGTGGGGCATGTGAGGAGTGACGAGCCACCACCGAGGGCCCCGCGCTGGGCGTGCGGTTAGCTGCTCTTATCTCTGTGGGTTGTGGTGAGCCAGTGAGGTGACCTATCTGTAGGTCAATCAGAGGCAGCGCAGCCTGATTCACTGGGAACCCCATTGGCTTCCAGGCTCCACTACCAATGGGTGGAACCGCGTCGGTTTCTATGTTATTTGATTGCAGGTTCTTCCTCAGTGAAATTGGAGGGGAGGATGCCAGACAGAATCATGGGTGGTTGTGAGGAGTCACTGAATTGTATGAGAGTCACTTCTTAGGTTGCCAAGCGCTGTGTCTGTGTTATCTATTATTACTGCTCACCTGAATATCTGACAGTACTTCTCCTTCAAGAAGTTTAATTCATTTTATATTGTCAAAACAGTTGAACTGGTTATAAATTACTTGTGCCTTTGAATGTATACATTTGTTTAATATATACCCACATTAAGTCATAAACCCTCGGAGGAGAAATGCTGTCCTTTCGGTGTATCGTGTCACATGCCACGGCCTGGAGGACACAGGATGGCTTGGTAGAGTGGCCAGGACCAGACGTGGCTCTTCAATCGAGTGGAAAGGAGGGAGGCACCTCGTTCCTTCAGAACAAGCACATCGGGGTGTGAAGTCATCTGTGACGGGTATCAGAGCATGTGCTTTAAAAGATGAGCTCTGCTTTAAAACACTCCATGAAACACTACTATCACAAACATTTTATGCAAAGGGCAATGTAGGATGAAATACAAAATAGTACGCTAAATTTTTTGTTTTTTTCGGGGGCGCATATGGTGTTTTTTGTGGAACATATAATTTTTTTTTTTTGTAAAAATTTGTGTTTTATTTGAAATGCCACATACCTTTGTAAATCCGAGTTTTGAACCTATTAGTTTTAAAGACCAACCAGACAGGTCCTTCAACCAAAATAATGTTCTTTAAATATAACATTACAACTGAAGAAGAAGGCCATTGTCAGTGATTGTCATCCAAGACCGTAAGGGAATTGCCAAAAATGTGGCTGCATTCCTGCACAGATCTGCACACCCAGGCCCCCCCCCCCCCGCGGGTCCTGGTGGGTTTCCAGCAGACCTTCTCAGCTGCGCTTCCTCAGCGGCTGGTCCATATTTGGGAGACTCAGAGTCTTAAAGAATTTCATTCCTTTTGCGTTAACACCTGTGCACAGGGCTTCCTTATGCAATTCTGATCAGATAGATAAGTACACTCATATAATTTGGCTTGTTTTAAAAATAAATAATGTAGCCTGGCAGGTGTGGCTCAGTGGTTGAGCATCGACCTATGAACCAGGAAGTCACGGTTTGATTCCTGGGCAGGGCACATGCCCAGGTGGTGGGCTCGATCCCCCGTGTGGGGCATACAGAAGGCAGCCGATCCATGATTCTCTCTCATCATTGATGTTTCTCTCTCCCTTTCCCTCTCCCTTCTCTGAAATCAATAAAAATATCTTTTAAAAAAATAAAAATAAATGATGTAGAAACGTCTCAAGCATCTGATATTTTATATGCAATCCCTGCCTTCTAAGAAGTTCTGTGTTAGATGGAATGCTTGTACGTGCTAGGTAGTGGTACTTGGATTTTATCTCATATGTTTACCATGAGGATTAGAATTGGATCATTTTGATCCCGAACAGTTAGGTTAGTACTTAGGTAGTGCTCCTGTGGCTTGCGCTCTTGACTTTTTGTCTGTTTTGACACGATTGTTACTGTGAGGTGCTGTCAGGTTCTGGAAGGTCCCGCAGGGCAGTGCTGAGGTCCGAACCGGTGGCTGGTGGCCCTGATGACCGGTGTCTTTAGAAACAGGACAGGGGTGGGTTCTGCATTGTCAAGCCTCCCGGGGCCGAAAGGTTTTTATGGTCGTGGTGACTTGCTGTGCGTCTCCTGTTGCATTTTTTGATCATTAGAAACGGCTCGTGATGTAGAGTGTGATGTGCCAGAAGTCCCTGTGTTTGTTAAATACAATGGATTCTAACGGAAGCTGAAAATAATTATGCTGCGATAAGTGTAGTTACTTTACTCTGCTACGGAAGTTAGAACAGAGTTTCAAATCTTATTTTTCTATAAATCTTCAGACATAATGCAATTAAATCATGTTGGTAGTCGTTGATGCTGCTGCTTCTGTTAGTTCCTACATATTGACGACTTGATGAAACTACTTGGCCATGTACACACAATTAGGTCTCAGCCGTGGAACCCGAAGGTTGAATATATGCTCTGAAATTCCTCTGTTATGCTATAATGGTATGTCAGTAACTAACTCTTACTCCTCTTTCTCTATGTTGGCATTTAGGTAGTCCAGAAATTATGTAATTTCTCAGCCTCTGGTTACTTGTCTTGAAGTACAAATAGATGGAATGATGTAGATGAGTCAACTTGTTCTGAATATAAGTTACTGATTTGATTATTTAGAACTCATTAAATTAATATGTTTTAAAGTTTCATGGCTCCAATAATGTTTTAAGAAAAATTAGTAAATCATTTTTATTTTTGTTCATAGAATCTCTACAACTCTTCAATCATTGGTCCCCAAAATGGCATTCATCATCCTTCTCATGCTGTGTTCTTTAGTTATGTTTAATTGTATTTCCATCCTCACATGGGCCCTGACATTAGACATTTATTTTCCTCTTTTGGTGAATGAAAATGTTATTGATATTCAAAACCAGTTAGGAAATAAAAATGGAAGTGCATATCTACATTTCTAGGAAATAATAAGAATTCTTTTTGTGTTCCAGCATCATTTAAATAAGGCAAACTTAGCAAAGCTGTGGTTGCCAGGTCCCTGGCTGTGACCCTAACAACCAGGGTCAGCTTCTGTGGGCAGATTCTGTGGGCAGATCTGTGGCCGGAATTGAGCGCCCTGGGAACCTCATTGTTACACATGAGAGCAGTATTTGTCTTCCCATTGACACACTGAATCAACTCACTG